CATTATTCAAAACTTCAGCTGCTTTTCTCACACATTGCAGGGAGGCCAACTTACAACCACACCAAGGAAAGGCCAAGAGCATCTAAGAGAGGCAAGAGTATGCCAAAGCTTTCTCCTCACTGAGCTCCTCTGCAGTTGCATCCAACTTCTTCCTCGAGAACTCGTCAATAGAGTCCTATACAATTGTGAAACAAATGTGTATTAGAACTTTGAATGTTCACATTCTATTCAATTGTTAAGAAATGCAGAGACTACAGACTCTTACCTTGAACAATCTTCCACTCCCCATGTTGGCAAGTGACTGGGAATGAGAAAATGAGACCAGAAGGTACATCGTATGAGCCGTCAGAGTAAACACCCATGGAAACCCAAGTGCCCTGAATGTATGGTCAAATAAATAATAAGTATATAATAGATCTGTATAAAATGTTCTAACTGAAAACCGAACAGAATCATAGGTACCTCCGGGGTTCCAAGTACCCAATCACGAATGTGATCACAAGCAGAACTTGCAGCAGATAATGCACTTGACAGCTTACGGGCCTTGATGATTGCAGCACCACGTTGTTGAACAGTGGAAATGAATTCTCCATTCAACCTTATGAAAAGAAAGAGTGCTTCACTGTAAGTAAACCTAATAATAGAACTAAAGTGAGTTTTAAATGTAGATCAAATCATGTACCATGCATCATCAGCAACAAGCTCACGGACACCTTTCTCCCCAGATGGTGTCTTGACAGTTGCATGGTTGACATCAGGATACTGCGACGATGAGTGGTTACCCCAGATAATAACATTCTTAACATCAGAAACTTGAACATTCAATCTCTCAGAAACCTGGCCCAAGGCCCTGTTATGATCTAGTCTAGTCAAACAGGTGATGTTTTTCTCAGGAATTGATGGTGCAAATTCCTTCAAGATCAATGCATTGGTGTTTGCGGGATTAGCAACAACCAAAACCTGCAAATAGGAAAGGGAGCTTGTAATGTCAAATCAATTTGAACTTCTAACTGCAATAAGTGTCTTCATGTTGTACAGAAAATGTAAAAGCTCTTGTACCATAAGGGATTTTAATTCTTTTAATAAATCTAGGGGTATTCAATTAGGATTTTAAGTGATTCTCTAAAATTTAACGTGTATTCAATCAGGATTTTAAGATAGTTTACTGTTTATTAAAATCTTTAAGAAATCTGGTGATTCAATTAGGATTTTAAAGAAGTTTATAACATTCCAGGTGTATTCAATTAGGAATTTATTTAAAGAATTTTAAAAAATTGAGGAATTTGAGGGAATTGGACAGATTTCGAAATGTATTTTAAGCATTCACAAATCTCATCTCTTCCCCTGAGATTCCGAGGGAATTGAATCAAAATTTTACATGAAATCTTTACAAATCAATTAAACTCCATCAAATCATAGACTCATAAATCAATCAAAATTGCTCAAAATCTCAATTGAATACACACCGATCCTGAATGATGAATTTGATTGGAAACGAAACAAAGCTATTTGGTATCAAAAAGGGAGCTCAATCACACCCCTTATGGAGAACATGACACATTCATAATCTTGCATCCGCAGAACCACCTATATATTTACATTCGAAAAACAGAGAAAATAACATAGCACAGTATGAACATAATTGACTGATTTGTCATGATTCTGCATGAAGATGTATTTGAATTGTGCACAAATTCACATCATAATGAAATTACATATTCCTTATAAAAATCAACAAACTACCCTATAATTTCTGTTCTATTCAATATTTTTTACCTTGCAGTTAGGAGCTGCATGCTTTTCCAGTGCAGAAGCTTGGGACCTGTAGATGGAAACGTTCTTTGTCATGACGTCTTTCCTTTCCATGCCTTCTTTCCTAGGGAAGCCACCGACCATGACGGCGATGTTAACTCCATTGCATGCTTCCACAACATCAGTTGTAGCAACAACACCTGATACAATACACAACAGGTACCAATCACATCAAACTCAACCACAACATGCACACACAAACATGCAGTTCCATATACCGATAACAGATCAGTGGTATTTACCTTTAAGCAGAGGGAAAGCGGCGTCCACCAACTCCATCTTGACACCATTCAAAGCCTCAGCAGCTGGTGGGATATCAAGCAGGTGCAGAATCACCGGCTGATCCGCTCCGAGCATGATTCCCCTTGCGATCATCGGCACAAGCGCATATCCAATTTGCCCTGCAAATCCACAAATATACACACTTTCAACATCACTCACTCAAAAATCATCCAAATTCATAACTCATCCAAATCGGATCGCTACTTCAACAAATCACAAGCCACATCATTTCAAAACATCGATCTAATTACTACTTCGTCGCTCCTCCCACTCTCAGTCCTAGCACATACATACACACACACACACACACACACACATAATCATGTACAGATCTAAACGGTACACACACACACACACACATAATCATGTACAGATCTAAACGGTACACACACACACACACACACACAATCATGTACAGATCTAAACGGTGCATCAATCATATGAAATTTACAAGTTGCCAACCAAGAACAAGATCGTAGATCTAGAAGATCGATCAGGGCTTGCTGAAAATTCGAAGAAACAGTGAGATTATGGATTCGATACAGTACCTGCGGCTCCAGTAACGAGGATGCGAGCTGGTTCTTTCGCCATGAATTCCGATGAGCTCAGGAGGAAGATGAATCGATCGATCTGAAGTGGCGAAGTGGATTTGCAGATGAGAAGAGCTTACAGTCAGAGAGTAAAGGTCAAGGAGGAGAGGGTATACATATACGTGGAATTCATGTTGCCAAGAAGATGCGATACGGACGAGGGGATAGCTTGACACGGCGCCGTTTTTGAAATTAAGTGGACCCTTTGACGGCGTCATCAAGCCAGTGACTAGGAGAGGACGTGGGCGGTATGGCGCGTGATGAAGAATAGGCGGAGGAGGGATATTCCGTTTAGATTCGATCTCGTGATGTGTCCTAACGTCAATCGTCATGATCCATGCGGAGGCCGTATAAAGTAGTTTTTAAAGTTTCTAATCCAATGGTTCTTGTTTAAGCTGAAGTTGCCACGTGGGGAGGGAGTACACCAATCAGCCAAAATAATTGATAGATTTTTCAGTGTACTTGGTAACACGGTTGAGTATACCAATATAACTAGTGAGAATTTCTTTTTGAAGTGTTCATATTAGTATTATAATATTTAGTGTATTGGACTGTGGTTTAAAAAAATACTACCTTTACTATATTTTTCATACCACAATCATATTATCTCTATATAAATATGAGATTCATATACGTTGATTTGTTATTTAACAAAATGATACAAATGTATGAAAAATATGATAAAGTTAGCATTAATCGTGTTCTGGGAACGTAGAAAAATCTGTCAATGAGATGAGTGATAATAACTTTTTCCTCTGCCTTTTCATTTCATTTTACACACAACTCCAATCCTTCCCTTCACAATACCTACTTATTTAATTTGATTTAATTGTTGAAGATTTGGAATCCAAATTTTATGCTTTGGCCTTATTTCATGGTGTGGATTTTGAATAAGATAATACCCTCTCTTGATATGAAAATTATTCAGTAATGAAAGAAAACTTTGTCATTGATATTTTACCATATGGTGAAAAACAATTATACTTATACATTTTAGCATGAATTCGATCTCCACCAATTCTCTTTCTCCCCCAACAAACTAACAATTTAGTTAACACACTAACACTAAATATCAAAGAAAAATTGACATATTATAGGGAGTAGAGATGATAAAAAAGAGAAACATAAAAATAAATAAATAACTATAAACGGCCCAATCACAACTCAAGTTAAAACATCAAAGAATTTCCCCTATATAAATACCCAGTTATATGAAATAATTGGTTTCGGTGTTCCTTTATTTTTCCAGAACGTTCTCCGCTCCTTTGGGGCTGCTCTTCCTGCGTTCAACCATGGCTACTGCATCAGGTAAAGTTACAGACCTACAGTTCTCATCGCCTCCCAATATCTCGAATCGATCGCCGCCTTTCAAATCAAAGTGGTCACTGGTTTTTTTGTCGCTAAATATTTTAGAATCTTGATAAACAAGGAGCGAACGAGGGCTTAAATTTTGAAGAAAACCCCATTCTTTTGCGTTTCGAGTGTGAATGATCGAAATATGCTTAGGTTTTTGGGGGTTTTTGAATTGTTGGGGAAGATTGGTCTCAGTTTTGTGGATAATTATGATAATTAAGAGCACCCGGTCCATTGAATATTAACATTTATTGGATATTTTCTTAATTTCGAGATATGTTATGTTGCGATTTTATCGGAAGAAGATGGATGGGACTCAACGCTTAGGTTTTTGACATTTTGTTTTTTGTAGTGTGAGTTAGGGTGGGAGTGTGAAATGATATTTCAGACTTCAGAGGTCTATTTCTGCTCAAAAATTGGTGAATGAAATTGATCCCTTTTTGCTAATTTAACTACTTTAACAGTTTACAATGTAATTCTGCAAATTCTCCTAAGTTATCAAGTGCAATTACTGAACAGTTTGGTATATAGGAACCCATTATGCATACATATATAGACAGAAACATCATGCCGATGTTGGTGTGAGTAATTTGATTTCAGTTATGTAATTGTCTAAAACAATTTGAGTAATTGACACTTTTGTAAGAATGCAATCCTGCAATTTTATTTTGTAATGTTTTATGGTGTGTGCAGCGGCTTTCAAATCAAGGGAGGATCATCGGAAGCAGATGGAATTGGAGGAAGCGCATAAAGCTGGGCTAGCGCCAGCTGAAGTTGATGAGGATGGGAAAGAGATTAATCCTCATATTCCTCAATATATGTCATATGCACCTTGGTATCTTAAGGCTAATCAACGAGTAAGCTAACATTCTAAGATTCGTCAACCCTTTCCCTTGCTTAGATGTCAAAGCGACATATGCTTAGGGTCTTTTCTTTCTATTTCTGTGTAGAGTTTGAAACATCAAAGGAAATGGAAATCAGATCCAAATTATACAAAATCCTGGTACGACAGAGGTGCAAAGACTTTTCAGGCTGATAAGTACCAGAAGGGAGCATGTGAAAAGTATGTGGATCATGCATTGCTTGTAATACTGGTTCCTGATTTTCTTCTCCTGCTATCATACCACATCTAGCTTGTCATCTTCACTAAGATATCGGTAACTGAATCTCAAATATCATATACTTGTTCACTAATTGTAGTGGGAGTTTAATGATCGCGGTATTCCACTGGGAAGTGCTTTTCATATAGGGAATGACAAGATTGCTGATGGTGTTATGAGCTCACAAGATTCATATATCCGCTCTTATCCAAAACTGGTTTGTTAGTCTATCAAAGAATTTATATGCATTTACTTAATAATTCTATAATTTGTGATGGTACCATGAGTTTTGTCAGGAAACTATACTCGGTCGTTAAATTGTTGAATGCCTACAGACAAGTTTTGATCTGGTTTTCTATAGTCACTATAGTGATATAATCATGTTAGTAACAAAAGTTTGTGTATCTGATTTACTTATTCTTGGGGATAGGATGCATATTTTAGCCCATGAAAGAAAATTTAAACTCTTCTTACCATATTTTGTGTTAGAGTTAGGATTTATTTATTACCAGGGGGTTTCATCCTTTTCTTTTTACAGCTGTGGGGCGATCACGCATACCACAAAGTTGTGCATGGAGAGGCCTAGAAAAAAAGGAGCAAGATGGACAAACATGCACATTGCACCTGATGAAAAAATAGAGAGTTTTGAGCTGGATTATGATGGAAAACGGGATAGATGGAATGGTTTTGATGCAGCAACTTATGCTCATATCATTGAGAGATACGAGGCAAGGGATGAGGCTAGAAGGAAATACCTGAAGGAACAGCAGATAAAAAAGTTGGAGGAGAAAAATAATAAGCAGAATGGGGAAGGGGAGATTAGTGAAGATGATGACGATGATGATGCTCTGAAGGTAGATGAGGCCAAGGTTGACGAAAGCAAACAGATGGATTTTGCAAGGGTTGAGAAGCGTGTTCGCACGACTGGTGGTGGAAGCACTGGAACTGTCAGGCATGTATTGCTTTGTTTGCTATCTCCTTGATTGTCTTTGTGTTGTTTAATATGAAACATTTTTTATTTTGTGTATGGCCTTCCCCCAAAAGATGATTCACACATGGTTTTAATTTTGAATTCTCTTGGTTCAGAAATTTGCGCATTCGGGAGGACACAGCTAAATATCTTTTGAATCTTGATGTCAATTCTGCTTATTATGATCCCAAAACTCGGTCCATGCGTGAAGATCCTCTTCCTGATGCTGACCCGAATGATAAGTTTTATGGAGTGAGTTGTTTAACTTGGAATATTTTGTATTTATTTTTTAATTATGTGAATGTGAAGAAAAAATGATTTATCAACTTGCCATTTTTACAGGGAGATAACAAATATAGAGTGAGTGGGCAAGCTCTAGAGTTCAAGCAGCTCAATATTCATGCATGGGAGGCATTGGAAAAAGGGCAAGACATTCACATGCAAGCTGCTCCATCTCAAGCAGAATTACTGTATAAGAACTTTAAGGTCATTAAGGAGAAGTATGGCAATGCTGCAACTGAAGAACAACTTCCGAAGGAGCTTCTTTTGGGACAGTCTGAGAACCAAGTTGAATATAATCGTGCTGGCAGAGTTGTAAGGGGCATGGTATATATGAGATTAAATTCTTTCTCAAATCAGTTCCGTTTTGATATCTTGCCTTGCATTAATGATATTTGTACCTTTTATCCGTATGCAAAAATTGCGAGAGGGGGAGGATAGTGTCTGTGTGCATGTCTTATGCATCTATAATCTTTTTACAAATTAAGACTTGTTAACAATTTTGCTGGCTTTCATTTCTTGATGAACCGTGCTAGTAATTAACCATTCGATGCTCACATGTTGGTACACGTCAATATTGTCATTGGGGTCCTGGATAATTGATCGAAATTATTTTGGAGCTATTTAGGCAGGTTCTTTCTCACACCTTAATGTGGCTTTGTCTGAAAGATTATGCTGCTTATGCACGATATTTATTTTGTCAGTGATTATGTGTGACTTCATCATTATTGCATATCTAATGTCTTTTAAGGAAATTATTATGAACTCTCAAGTCTTTTGGTCTGGTGTAGATTTCTCTGTTCTATGTAGTTTAAAGTTGTTTGCTAACTATTTTATTTTATTTTTTTATTTTTTTTTGACAAATTCATTATTATTAAGGGGAGGGGGGGGGTTCAAAGCTAACAATAGTTTAGGGGAGGGGGGAGTTTCAAACCTTGTCTGTTGCATGGGTGGAAACCAAACACCCTATCCACTAGGATGTTGGACCACATGCAAGTTGTTTGCTAACGTAAATCTCTTGTGAATTTATCTGATAAATTTATCTGCCTAGTTGTCTCCTAGGCAATTTCATCTTCAGAATGTGCTTGATAATATCAAGATTGCCCTCTAACTTTTATATGTAGCATCTTTGAATGCTCAGTAAGGAAATTAACATCTGTTTTCTTCTGATTTTCTTTGAAGGAGACATCCCTTCCAAAGAGTAAATATGAAGAGGATGTTTATATCAATAACCACACAAGTGTTTGGGGATCATGGTGGAAGGATCACCAATGGGGATACAAGTGTTGTAAGCAAACAATTCGGAACAGTTATTGCACTGGTGTAGCTGGAGTTGAGGCTGCCGTGGCAACTGCAGACCTAATGAATGCGAACATTGCCCGCAAAGTAGCCTCTGAAGGTTTGTACCTTTCACATATGTTTTTGTTTATTTATTTTAATGTTTGAGAACACTGTTTTTATTGTTTATGGAGAGTGCTTTATCCATATTAAGTAATATCATTTATTGTGGTTGATTTCATCATTTCATTTATTGTGATTACGATTGTGTTTCCAGATTTTTATTTGTTTTACCTTCTTACATGTGGATATGTCTTGTTACTTTGTTATACTTAGAACTTCTTATCACATACTCAGTTACATTCCGTTTCTTCAAATTTTTTGCAGAGAAGCCTGCTCCAACAGAAGAAAAGAGGGTTGCTACCTGGGGAACTGATATACCCGACGACTTGGTCCTTGACCAGAAAAAACTTGATGATGCTCTTAAGAAGGTGATCTTGTGGGATTCATTTTCATTTTCATTTTCATTTTCAATTTACTACTTTTAATGTCACTTTATATACTTAATAGTCAACTCACATCACCCCTATACTAGCCATTGTGTTTCCGAACTTTATTGATTGATTGTTCATGTGTGTTGCTTTTTCCAGGAGGATGAGAGAAAGACGGAAGAAAAGGATGAAAGAAAGCGCAAATACAATGTTAAATGGGACGATAAGGTATAAATAAATACCCATTATGTTCCAGTTGGTGCGATGGCAAGTGCCTTCGCCCATGAGCGGTAGGTCTCGGGTTCGAGACTTGGGAGCAGCCTCTCCATAAATGGGGGTAAGGTTAGCCGACATTCACCTCTCCCAGACCCTGCGTAAAGCGGGAGCCTTGTGTACTGGGTACGACCTTTTTTTCTTTTCTTTGTATGATGTTGCTCGAGTACAGTGCTTCCTCGATGAATTTTTTTACACCATGTCATGCATTTTGTAGGTTACTCCCGAGGAGATGGAGGCGTATCGAATGAAAAAGATTCATCATGACGATCCCATGAAAGATTTCCTGCACTAAAGAGTCAACCGTATTTGCCTCTAATCTGGATACTGTAAGCTTAGAAATCTTAATTAGCATCTTGTCGTTTAGGCTCCGAGAAACATTTGCAGAAACCTGCAGTTGTCTGAGCTCTTTGGATCTTGCTATTTTTGTGCACATCTGTAGAACAATGAAATCATATTAGAAAAAGGACAATTGGATTCAACTCTACTCTTTCTCCATGGATTGTGGAAATTGGGATATGTTGAGTTTTGGTTTCAATAGTTGTTGTATATTTCATTGTGAATGTTACAAGAGAGTGAAGGCAACTCTTATAGAGAGCCAAAAGAAAGCTACAATAGATTGTAGGATAACTACACAAACACAATCCCTAAAATCTGCCCTAACAAGTGGAAAAGCAAAAACCAAATTACAAGTAAAGAAGCGTTTACAAGCAACTAAGAAAGGTTGATGTAAGATGAATGACAAGCTATGGAAATGTTGATGTAAGGTGAATGACAAGCTATGGAAAATGAGGTTGATGTAAGGTGATTGATAAGCTATGCAAAGGTTGATGTAAGGTGAATGACAAGCTATGGAAAGTGACTTTAGCCTATGACTTAGCTAAAGTGAGGATGACAACTCATACATACAACCCATCCATACAAACCGGTTTCAATACACCCCTTCAAGTTGGATCAAGAGGATTGATTGATCCAAGCTTGCACAACAAACGCTGAAACTGAGTAGAGTCTAGTGCTTTTGTGAATAAATCAGCAAGTTGATCGTGGCTACGTGTGAACACGATGTCTATCACCCTGGATTGAACTTGAGCACGAATATAATGGCAGTCAACTTCAATATGTTTGGTCCTTTCATGGAATACTGGATTGGAGGCAATGTGCATGGCAGCTTAGTTATCACAATACAAGGACATAGGTGCTATGCTTGTGAATCTGAGCTCGAAAAGAAGACCTTTCAACCATATGAGTTCATAGGTTGTTGCTGCCATAGCCCTATACTCAACTTCAGCACTAGATCGAGCAATAACAATTTGTCTTGCTCTTCTAAGTGACAAGGTTCCCTCCAACAAATGTGCAAAAACCTATTGTCGATTTTCGATTAAGGGCATTTCTAGCCCAGTCAGCATCTGTGTAGGCCAAGATGTGATTTGATCCATTGTTCTTCATAATTATCCCCCCTTCATACTGAGCCCTTAAGATATCGAAGTATTCTCTTGACGATTTCCCAGTGAACTAGAGTAGGAGATTGCATGAACTGACTGGCTAAGCTAACTGAATATGAGATATCAGGCCTAGTAATGGTGAGATAAATAAGTTTCCCAACCATTCGCTGATAAACACTAGGGTCCGATAGAGGTTCACTTTTTTCATGCCACTAAAGTTTGCTAGTTAGGGGTGTCCGAGCTGGTTTACATTCCATCATGTTAGCTTCATCTAGAAGATCGAGAACATACTTTTTTTTATTCAAGAACAATCCCTTTGAAGAGGTAGCCACCTCAATTCCAAGAAAGTATTTCAAGGGCCACAAGTTTTTAATGGAAAATTTTTGGTGAAGTGACTGCTTAAGCGTCTTGATTTCACTTGTATTGTCATCTGTAATAATTAGGTCGTCAACATATATAAGCACAACCAATTTGCCAGCAATACTACTTCGAACAAACAAAGAAGAGTCAGCATGACTCCTTTTGAACCCTGCAGCTTCAAGGATTGAACTAAACTTCGAATACCAAGCTCAAGGGGATTGTTTGAAACCATATATGGCTTTGCGAAGTCTGCAGACCTTGTTGGGTTCATTTTCTCTTGGATGACCAGGAGGCAACTTCATGTACACTTCTTCTTTAAGATCCCCATGAAGAAATGCATTCTTCACATCCATTTGGAATAAGGGCCATGCATTATTGACTGCCACAGACAACAATACCCTCACTGTGTTCATTTTGGCAACAGGAGCAAAGGTCTTCTTATAGTCAATGTCATAGGTTTAAGTAAAACCTTGAGCTACTAATCGTGCCTTGTGTTTTCAATGCTTCCATTGGAGTTGAATTTGGTCTTATATATCCATCTACTTCCCACGACCTTCTTTCCATTTGGAAGATCCACCACATTCCATGTCTGGTTATCATTCAAAGCTTGAAGCTCTTTAGTCTTAGCATCTTGCCACTCAGGCATGCATGTGGCTTCATGAAAATTCCTTAGTTCGGAAGTGTGGGACACTTTGTTATGGAATGAAGTATGAGAAGATGAGAATCTGTGATAAGAAATGGCTACAGAGATAGGATGCCTTGCAGTGTAAGTAACATACTCTTGTAACCTCACTGGTGGATGTCTATCTCGTGTAGGATTTCTTCTTGGTGCACTTATAGCTTGCTGATTTGGTTGAGCTTCTGATGGTTCAGAGAAGATTAGCACTGCATCAGTTACACTCTCAGTGAGTTGAGAATTATCATTACTGATATGAGCAGGAGTGACTTCATGAATTTCTGCTGGAATAGGTAGTGGAAATAGGTCTATAAGATCTTCCATATTAGCATTAGTCTCTAACCTTTTGTGGAAATAAGATGTATTCATCAAATCACACATCTCTAGAGGCTGCCAGCTTCCCCGTGTTAGGGTTGTACACTTTGTAACCCTTTTGAGAACTGGCGTATCCCATAAACACACATTTGACAGCTCGAGGGTCGAGTTTGTCACAATGGAGAGCTTGAATGTGCACATAACAAGTACAATCAAAGGTCCTGAAGTGAGACAAGCTTATAGGCCTGCCCTTCATGACTTCAAAAGGAGATTTAGTATTCAACACCTCAGTTGGCAGTCTATTAATGATGTACGTGGCAGTGAGTAGAGCTTGAGACCAAAATTTCTTTGGAACATTCATTTGGATCATAAGTGATCGAGTCTTTTCCAATAAGTCTCGATTCTTTCTCTCTGCCACACCATTTTATTATGGTGTACCAACACAGCTAGTTTGATGCAAAATGCCATGATTGCTCAAGTAATTACTCATGTTATTGGAAATGTACTCGGTACCATTATCTGATCTTAACATATATAACTTAGATGAAAATTGATTGGTGGTTAGGTTGTGAAAGTCATTAAAAGCATCAAACAAATCACTTTTAAGTTTTAAAAGATACAACCAGCTTACTCTAGAATAGTCATCAATAAATGTAACATAATATCTATACCCATCAAAGGATTCTACACTAGAAGGACCCTAAATATCAGAGTGAACAAGCTGAAAAGTTTACTAGTTATAGAATTGGAGGAAACAAAAGGATGTCTAGTGGCTTTTGACATTTGACAAGTTTCACACTCCAGTGTGTTTTTACAAAAAAAGGGAAACAACTTGGTCATCACTGAAGGGAAATCTATGAGATTCATGTGGGATTTCTTAATGACTAGCATGCATATACAATTCAAAATTCATATACATGAGCAACGGAAGCATGTTATCATATAATATCAAAGATCTAGTCATGCAAATCCCCTTCAAGGTTCATAGGTTTATATATAATGCATCAAAACATTTTATAGAATCAAGAACAAAGTGAAGGTTAGTCTTATACCTCTTGATCTTGATTTTAGACCAAGGATGGACCACCTCCAAGCTCTTTGCTCCTTGAAATCCTTGATGCTAGCTTCCCTCCTTGCCTCCTCCACTTTGTTAGAATGAGTGCTCCTAGGTTCTCTTCAAGTTTCCAAAGTAGGAAACCTCTAAAGATCCTCACCCACTAGTGTATGTAGTGAGAAGGATGAAGGAATAACCAAAAGAGTGAAAGATTGTTAGCTAAATCACTCCCTTTGGTAGCCGGCCCTTTTGTGGAGTTTTGAGAGATATTCTTTTTCTTCTTTGTTGTTCTAAAACACCAAATAAAAACCCTTAAGGAAAAATATCATTATAAAGTTCCTTATATATCAAAGAAAAACCTAGCCAACAAATTGACTAAATATCTCACCCATTTCACACCTATATGGCCGGCCTCTTTGTTGTTTGTTTGGGCTTTGGGCTTTGGGCTTTTACAATTTCAAGTCATCCAATGCTTGAATAAAAGCCCAATGGGTTTAGGCCCAATGGGCCCAATTAAAACCCGAACGTTTCTTTAAGCCCAAAACGATCTTTATCGCTTTTATAATTTATTTAGACTTTCTAAATTAATCACAACAATTAATTAATCCAATTAATCATTTCCATCATCCATTGGTTACTCACTACAATAGTGTATTGGTGAACAATCTTTTAGGTTCTAATTAGCAAGGCAGTGAGGTGATTGGAACCAATCCAATTAATTCAATCACTTATTGAATTGAAACTTCATTTCAATTCACCATTCTTCTTTGATGACTACATTTAATCATCTAGAAGAACTCACAAGCTATGAGTGACATCTAACCATATGTCATAGCTACCCAAGCTAATGTAGAAGTTTATTCGAAGAACCTATTCAGTTGGAATTACAATGTAATTCGATCCTTCTCTAATACAATACTCTCAATCACATCATTAGGGTATGGATATTATGTCAAACCCCTAATGTGATTATTCCTTCATATATGATTCGTTTGAGTCGTATAGGAACGCTTTCCTTTTAATACGCTCGATACTTCGGCCGAAGATTCTTGAATCATATCTTAGAGTATTCTTCCTCTCTTATCGAGGATTAGAGATTCCTTGTTGCGCATACACTTGCCTTCATGACTAAGTGGCTTAACCCCAATCATGCCGTGGACACCCTCGAATGGGGAGACTTTGACATAATCAAAGATTAAGTACTTAACCACAAGACAACGACGATGCCTCAGGTCTAAGGATTACTTACATTATTCCAACCATTAGAGTTACTTGCTTGACATGTGAGTAGACCTCCATGCAAGTACTCTCGTTCGATTGTGTTCAGTGAACTCATTCCCCTAATGAGCACCTACATACTTGTCTTAGTGTCACAACACAAATGGGATGAGACTTTCCATCCTTCCATTTGAAGCAGACATAGTATGTACTGGTCTAAGCATTGTCAGTATCCCTCCGACAATCCAATGACCAGGAACCTTTTGGACATCTGGTTATGTGAAGAAGGTCTCTGTAGTCTAACATCATTAGATTACTTCTTCAATCGATCCATTGTCCATGGATACATTATTAAGGACATATTTCGTTTATTGAGATAGTCCTAATTCATGTCTTTGCCTTTGATGTATAAGATTCATCCATACATTCATTTATTTGTCCTGAAATATTTCTTCCAAAGATTGACTTTCAGGGCATATTTCCAACAATCACATGTTCTGAGGGATAGGTAAGGCGTTGATGCCAGAGTTGGTGTTCCTGAACTTGACTTAAGTTAACACTGAGCTTTTTGACAAAATTGGACTCCTTTGAGAGATAGTAGAGTCCATTCAAGAAGAACCCTTCTCCAATCTTCTTTTGAGTAACTCGGTCCTAAAACACAACATTGTGAGGGGAAAATATGGCAAGACAGTCTAAGGTTTTTGTGATTTTTCCTATTGATAATAGCTAAAAAGGAAAAGAAGGTACATAGAGAGCAGTGCAATCAGTATGCTCACTTAGCAATCTAATCTTTCATTTCCCTAAAATAGGTTCCCCTTTCCCATTTGTAACAGATACATGAATTAAATCAATAGTTCTTTGAAAATCGTGGAGACTAGAGGGTTTATTAGTTATATGATCAGTGGCACTAGAGTCAATAATCCAAAAATCATGTGTAACATTTGCATTAAGAGCAGTGGAAATGGCAATGATAATACCTGGAATATTGCCTTTCGATGTGTTCTCCGAGTCAGCCAAGAATCCAGCAAATTTCCCTAGCATTGCAGTAGGGTTTTCAGGTGTCATTTCATCAGGTTCAGTGCTTCCTTGCTTCTTTTGAAGAAAACCAGCAAACTTGTTGATCAAGGACACATGATTTGTTGAGAATTTAGCCATCCCATCAGTTGAGGAACAAGCTAAATGAAATGTTTTTGGAGTGACTCCACATTTCCCATCTTTGATCATCCTGCCTTCCCTATCAAACTTAGGCTTTAACTCCGGATGAAGAATTCAACATTTTTCTCTCAAATGTCCCTTCATGTTACAATAAGAACATTTCCAGTCTGCTTTCTTGCCAAGCACCCTATCACCAGTTGCTTTGTGATTTGTCGTGAAAACCCTAGCTTCAGAGTTGGATTTGGGCTCAACGTTCATCACTCTTCGTCGAGTTTCTTCTCTCTGGACTGCATGACACACAGTGGTAAAGGAGGGCAACTCTTGAGTCATTAACAAGTGACTACGCAGGTCTTCATACTCCGCTCCCAAGCTTGCTAAGAGTTGAAAAACCTTATCTTCACCAGTCCTCTTCAATAGCACAGCGGAATCAGTCGTGTGTGGACGATACATATCAAGTTCATTCCACATGGATTTAATACTTCCAAGGTGTTGAATAAATAAGTGATTACCTTGCTTTAAACTAGCCACACTCTTCTTCAGTTGAAAGATGTGAATTGAGTTGTTTTGGCTGCCATACATGTCTTTGACAGACTCCCATAGGAGAAGGGAAGACTCTGAGTAGCTGAAAAGCTCAGACAGTTTTGGCTCCATGGAGTTAAGTAACCAGGACATGACCAGCTGATCAGTAGTATGCCATGCATCGTAAGTTGGTGAAGTGGATTCTGGGAGCTTAGAGCTTCCATTTATAAACCCTAGCTTCGATTTTCCTCCTAGAGCAAGTGACACATCTCTTGACCAAGGAAGGTAGTTGAACTCGTTCAGTAGCACCGAGCAGAGTCGTTGATTTGGATTGTTCTCAACCCCTCGGGTTAAGTTTGGGGAGGAGGATGAGGCACTGTTGACACTAGACACATTTTCTTCTGCCATCTTTATTGATGATGAGCAAATGAAGAAGTAAAAAAAATAGGAACAGAGTCATAACCCTATGGTTCCTGCTCTGATACCATTTTGAGTTTTGGTTTCAATATTTGTTGTATATTTCATTATGGATGTTACAAGAGAGTGAAGACAACTCTTATAGAGAGCCAAAAGAAAGCTACAATAGATTGTAGGATAACTGCACAAACACAATCCCTAAAATCTGCCCTAACAAGTGGAAAAGTAAAAACCAAATTACAAGTACAGAAGCTTTTACAAGCAACTAAGAAAGGTTGATGTAAGATGAATGACAAGCTATGGAAAGTGAGGTTGATGTAAGGTGAATGACAAGCTATGGAAAGGTTGATGTAAGGTGAATGACAAGCTATGAAAAGTGACTTTAGCCTATGACTTAGCTAAAGTGAGGATGACAACTCATACATACAACCCATCCATACAAACAGGTTTCAATAGGATACTAGCATACAAATATGTGGAGGGGCCTTGTAGCATCCGAGGTTATGTACGGTTTCCGTCCTCCGTCAATATTTGCTTATATAAAAAAGAGAAATGCTCTCCCCTCTACACAACTTTCTTTTATCAAAGCAGAACCAAGGGACAAAACAAAAGGGAGGAGTATAAAAGGGGAAAACGGAAGTGAGAAATCGTGTACCTAACAAAAACCATACAAATACAGTAGAACCTCTTTATAGTAATACTTGATAAGGAATAACCTCTTTATAGTCGTAAAAATTTTCAGTCTCAACTTGAGGCCAATTATGTATAGGAATAAACTCTATATTGTAATAAGTTATAATTATTCTATGTCCCATATTAAGGAAACTTGCCTCTATATCGTAGTAATAATTGTCAATAACTACAAAAATATGTAATGTCACAAATAAAAGTCTAAGATGAACTAAAATATTTTGCTATAAATGTTTGGAACAATGTTTTACTTTATAGAGATGGTACCATTCTTTTTTAGCTTGCGAGTACATAATACGTCGTAAGCATGGACATTTTCCTGGTGAGCTTCTCAAACATGTTTACAGAGAAGCATTAAAGAGAGTACTGCATACACACAAGCACTAGATTTTAAGACCGAGTGTGTTTCTTTCCAATGTTATATCTTGAAAATTGACGTACTCCACTTATAATTCTTTGTATTCAAGCAATTTTCATTAAAAGTAACTAAGTTAAAAAAAAAAAAAAAAATCTAGCTCACTTGGTAATAACCTCTCAAAAATTATAAGATTGCTTTAGTCCAAACATTAGGACTTTTTATATAGATTACAACTATCCCTCACAAGGGTGAAGAGGTCCAAAGTAACGATCAAGTAATGTAAAATAGATCACAACTAAACTTTTCATTATTTCAGATCCAAAAACAATAATCTTTAATCTTATATTCTGGACCAATTCACCAATCCACAATAAAGCATTTCCATGTACATATCCCCCAGAAAATATTTAAAAAAAAAAATTGAAAGGAAGAAAACCTAAATTGTTTGTATGCATCTCCACACTTTCTGCAGAAACCACTTCATTCGTCAATCTCTTCACCCTGAAAACAAAAAACTAGCAAACCTTCAAGCTTGTTCAATCACCCCCATATTTTGTATTGGAAAAAAAAAAGAAAAAACTACCAAATGTTATAAAATAAATTATGTTGAATTATGAACTGCGAGCCAACATCTCCTGGAACTCAAGAAGGGATTTCTCCTTCTGAAGCTTCATGTCTTGCCTAAACTTGTGAATGAACTCCTCCGCTCTTTCATCCACTACCCGCAGCTGAGGCGACTTTGCAACCACTGCTTGCCACGCATCTTCAACGCTGTACAAACTCTTCTTATCTCTTTTCACAACCTTCCCATCATCCTCCTCGTCAACCGCTTGTTTCCCTTTGCTTGTTTCTGCTTGCTCACCAAAATGTCGATCCTTCTTGGCGTCCACACAGACGGCAGCAGGCTCTTCAAAGAGCTCGTCTATGTGTATGGCTTCCGTATTCTTATTATGATGGAGCTTGTTGTGGTACTGGTAGCCAGATCTTCCCAGCGCATAACCGACATGGGAGTCAAGGGTGTCGTAGTGATGGTTATAGTATCGGTTCCTAGGGAAGGTAGAGGAAGGTTTGGTGAGAGCGCGGAGTTTGGATGGGATAAGAAAATGAAACTTGCTCTGCAAGGCACGGAGGTGTCTGGCAGTGGTTTTGATTGCTCTGGGGATGTTGAGTTTGTGGAGTTTTGATTGCACTTTATCGGTGAAGCTCCTCCACGCCCTCTTCGCGCAGCCAAACTTCTTTGCTAGCGTCCAGCATGACCTAAAAGTATTGGATCGTAACGAAATCATTGTTTCCTTTCTACACAAAAACTTTGCTGCAACGATAAGGAAAATGAGGGTATGATCTATATGATGGCTCGTATGGAAGAAGCTTTTGATACCTTACTTTTTCTGTTTTGCGCTGCTAAATGCTCCCGTTTTTCGACTAAATTTCGGGAAATGCCATTCTAGTCATAGGTAGCCAGCCAATTGAGAAAAATTCAGCTTTGGAATAAGAATGGCAAATCGGCAATAAAGAAATGAATGATGAGTTGGTTGCTTAGCCAAAGTGGTTTCAACTTTCGGCAAAGCTTGGAGGCCCCAGCTGAGCTGCTTGTAGCAATCTTGGGTCCTAAGTTTGGTGAGAGAAGAAGACCAACCAAAGAAATAATTCATGCTTTTACCATTTGAAACTTTTTGAGTTGTATATGTAGTGTGTGGTGGGGTTTCCAGCATGTCACGTTGTGTTTGTTGTTTTGTGGGCTGCAGAAATTGTGTGATCCGACTATTTTCTACAGGTCTTCCTACTCTTGTACTAGTTATATGAGTAAATACATGAAAGATAACGTAGAGAAGGCAAGAGAAGCATAGGATTATGGGTAATTGTTCTTGATTAGTTGTGGTTTCAATTGAACATCAGTGATTGGTATATATAACCACAAGCTTGGTGATCGACTTTCTGTACAAAGAAAACATAAAAGGAAAACGAATCCTATTGATTTGGTTATGTAAATGAAGACTGATTTCCATAAATCAGGTGGTGATTTGGGAACTGATTTGGTAAAAAATATCTTTGTGATTTGCTTGTGTGTATCACGTTTATCATGACATAATATGTAATAATTAGTAGGGTAAACTGTCATTTTCCCCCTTAAACTATCACTCCATTGTCAATTTACCCCCTAAACTATTTTTTTTAGCCAATTTACCCCCTGAACTATAAAAATTGGCCAATGTACTCCTTACTGTTAAATTTGTTAAATTCCATCCATTTAGATGTTAAAAATAAGATTGATTTTGTCATTTCCAACGCAAAATAGTAATTAATAAAAAATAATAAAGAAATTAATAAAAAACCAAAAAAAACACCCTTGCAAATAGCAAACGGAGGATTGGTTCATAGAGAGAAAAAACACCCTTGCAAATAGCAAATGGAGGATTGGTTCATAGAGAGAGAGAGAGAGAGAGAGAGAACGGCCTCCCAGACTCCCAGTGATTGGAGTGGAATCAATGATGTGGATTCTAAGGTGCAAAGGATCAGCAGTGGTGGCATGGCAGAATCAGAACCGGCGCGGTGGAGTTGAATCATTAGTCGCCCCCTCCACCTTGGGCTGCTCGAATATGGACTTCAAATCTACCGCTAACCCTACAATTTTTTTAGAGAGGGAGAGAAAGAGAGAGAGAATCGTGATGAAGGTGGCGGGTTGGGTGGGGGTGGAGTTCGGGCAAGGAAGGATATGGAATTGCTGGGTTAAAGGAATGTGGGCTGGAGAATAGGGTCTCTTTTTATTTTCTTTTCAAGTTTTAGTATTTTTTTACTTTAATAGTTAAAAGTGATCTTCTTTTTTAAATTAAAGAATTGATTTTTTTAACAGAATTTGGAAGGAAGTTTAAAAGTTTGACGGTAAGGTGGAAATTGGCACATTATATATAGTTCAGGGGGCAAATTGGTTGAAAAAATAGTTTAGAGGGTAAATTGACAATATGGTGATAGTTTAAGGGGGAAAATGACAGTTTACCCTAATTAGTAAATACATCATTCTATTTACGTTTGGTCAAAAAAGAGATTGACTATGGTACGTACATTTATCATCTAATATGCACCTATAAAATATAATCGTTAGACGGTGAATGTATTAAGTAAATGCATATGTAACCAAGAAAAGAAAGGTAGAATGATAGTTTACATGAGTTTTGATTGGGTAGGTCAATTGATGTTCATGCCTTAACGAGAAGACAAACTCTTTCCATCCCCTTCTATCTTCTCCTCTAATATTCTCTATTTTGTCTTTCTTTTTCTATAAAAAATTAATATAAGATGTTGACGTGGTTTAATCATGACCGTTCAAATAAGAAAGGAGTGAAAGTGAAGAAAAAAAAGAGAGGAGAGAATTCACTCCCGGCTAATGACCAAGGTTGTGAAAATTTTGAGTGGAAATGTGTCAGATCTTAGCCCACTTGCAAAGGAGAAAACTCAGGCCCCGCGTGCCAAAATGCAACCGTGTAAGTCGAATGAGGATTTGGTTTCGAAACTGCAACCACAAGATGAAGAGCCATGAGATGAACCAAATGACCTGAATATGTTTCTTGATAAATTTCTAAAGTTAATTCAACTTACAGTAGAGATGGGGTTTTTGGTTTTCGAGGTATTCTGACTTTTCTTGAAAACTTTGAGCAAAGTTATTGAATTTCACGAGAAATGGGAGGGAGCTCGGTTTGCGTTGTTAATATAACGAGGGAGAACAAAACTAATTAGAACAGATAAATATAACTGGCTTAATATTATAACGGTCATACCTTGCAAAATACATTAAAGTCGATCAAATCCTTGAGAATTGTTTCTTTTTTGGGTGGTGCTATTCATACAGAGATATGTGTAGATATCACGACTTTTTTTTATTCGCACACCCCTCTTTCTTCTATAAATCAAATGGATATACCAGACTGCGAGCAAGCCCGAAGGGTATGGTTTAAAGGCGTCGGACTTAATTAGTTTGTATTTATTTTTAAGAAACACTTTGGATGTGGTCCCTAACTACCAATGTTATTTGACTGAAACCTTGGTGGTTTTTAACTTTTGATCGAAGTCCTTGACATTAATGTAATAATGTATTTTTATGTAGGTTATTATATTTTTAAATTAAAAATAAAATTTGTAGTCATTTATATTAATGAGATTTTAAATAAAACCCATATTTTATGGGATTAAAAATATTAAAGATGAATTATACTCTCCAATATATTGTGAACGTATGTGTGTGTGTGTGTGTGTGTGTGTGTGTGTGTGTGTGTGTGTGTGTATGGGCACGTTCATCAAAACTAACCAAAAAATTATTGTACCAAAGCATAGGTACATTTTTCAAAAGCAAAAAAAATATATATATATATTAGCCTTAATAACATTATTAAATTTCTTTTATTAAACTTGACATGTGTTTGTACCATACTTGACCAATCCCGAAACTACTGAGCACCAGTCAACGTTATACCGTCAAGGACCCAGAAGAGTTTCCCTCCAACCAGGAGGCCAATCACAGCACGACACGTGTCGACATCAGAAGCCAATCAAAACACGTGTCAACATCAGAAGCCAATCACAACACGATACGTGCCAATGTCAGAATAAAACTAGAAACTCTCTTCTATAAATAGAGATCATTCTCTCACAATATTGCAAAAATGTCATATGTACTAGATCATTCACTTGTACACACTAAAGGAGAGCTTGAACCTATGTACTTGTGTAAACCCTTCACAATTTATGAGAACTCCTCTACTCCGTGGACGTAGCCAATATGGGTGAACCACGTACATCTTGTGTTTGCTTCCCTGTCTCTATCCATTTACATACTTATCCACACTAGTGACCGAAGTAATCTAGCGAAAATCATAAACTTAACACTTTCTGTTGTACCAAAGTCCTCACTGATTTTGTGCATCAACATTTGGCGCCGTCTGTGGGAATGACACTTATTCCCACTCTCTTCAGCTTTGCTAAGCTAGTTTCCACCATTCGTACTCTCTTTTGACTGGCATCCCTCTCCAACATGGGGAGCGAAAGAAGCCAAACACACAAAATGACACCCCTCTTGCACCTAGTGTGAAGCAATGAAAGAAGGAAGGAAAGAGGGTTACTCTTCAAGCTAAAGTTGATGAGCTAGAAGCTCAGAACAACAAGATAGCAATGAAGAATGATGTCCTCCATGAGCAGTATGAGAAGCTCTTTGAGACGCTCCACGAAACTAGGCGTACTTAAACACGCAAGCTTGTTGCCCTTGTGGACATCAATCATCATCTGGGTACCCCTCAACACGGAGGGTCACCTCCCTTCGACATGGGTATCCCTGATGAGGAGCGAGCTAATCATCAAAACATTGATCAACATGAGACTTCTCTCAACCCAGATGCTTTTACCCGAAGTAAAAGAAGTGGAGGAAGACACATTCTTACAGAAGGGTTGGAAGGATCGAAAGCCATTTATCGTGACTGCCGAGACTTCCTAAAGCAAAGTCGAGAGAATCCCCTCCACATATGCTCGAAGATCAATGACCCAAGGGTTTCTGAAAGACTTGGTCCCCTTCCATGACCCAGGCCAGCTGCCAATCTAAGGAAGGAACAACAGGTCCCAGAGGAACATGAAGGTACAGGGGACTCTGAGGTATTCTGACAGACTCGTCCTAGAAGTCAGTACGGCGAGTCCAAGAAAAAACCACACACCCTTGCTCAAACTTTCTTACTTCCAAAAGGCGATGGAGATTTATGAAAGAAAATTCAAGTGGTACATGACTCCACTCAGGACCCCCTTGTCCTACAAGTCATTGAGGAAGTAAACAAGTTGAAGGCCGAAAGTCAGGCCGAGATACCTGACTGGAACCAACCCAGGCTTGGCCCTCTCACAAGAAGGATCATCGACACCCCATTCAAGCGAAGATAGAACAAAAGCTTGGTTTACAACTCTATACTGGAAGGAATGACCCAATTGAACACCTTAACCTCTTTGAGTCCACCATGGCATATCGAATGCACACCGACGAAGAGCGATGTCTTCTCTTCCCCTCCACCCTCTCTGGCGGAGCTCTAAATTGGTATTGTCGTCTTCCATCTGAGACTCTCTCTCAACACATCTTCCAGACCGATGACTTGCACACTATTTGCCAGAAGCCGGACGAGTCACTAGAGAGTATGTCGGTCGCTTCAGCCATGAGTATTCTCGCTGCGCTGAGGCAGATGACAAGACCGCCCTCAAGGCTTTCACGGCAGGCCTACGTGATTGTTTCTTCAAGTACATGATCAATGCCAACACTTGAAAG